ATGCATGTTATAGTTGAGAATGCTATTTTATTTATTTCACTTCTGATTTTAAAAATGTAATAATATTATTCAATTTCATATGTAAACCTTCCTGAAATATAAATTTAAACGGGCCAACCCACAGAATTGGAAAGTAAAAAAAAATAACAATTCCGAAATTAATCGATGGAATTTTTTTTTTAAAGTAGCACAGTTTCAATTTAAAAAATTCACAATATAAACTATCCTACGTTGAAAATGAACGTCCAATGTTTATTTACAATGGCGATCACTTCTACAACTATTTGTCGTAAATACACGTGGAAGTGTGTTCAATAAAAGCGGCAATTGCAAACAGAATGCGCGCCATGTTCCCGTTCACCACTATTGTGTTTTATTTCGTTAATTTTCTGTCTTAAAACATTATTTCTCTATGTCCACTTAAAGACATTAAAGTATACCTTTGATGTACAAAAAATTATAGCTATTTGTCGATAGATATAAAAATTTGTAGTACTACTATCATCAATTGCTTAAACTCCTATATTTTTTTTATCTTCATCCCTTTCAATAGTACTATGACACCGTTATTCATTGTAGCTAATTTTGGAAAATACAAAACTGTCTTAATCGTTTACTGTATCAATCTTTAACTATTCTGAGCTGAGAATATATCTGTATAAAGCCTTAAGTAAAGAAAAGACCTACTTTGTTGTAGGATTTAAAAATAAATATAAAAAACAATTCGGGAAATAAATGTTAGCCATTTTGTCCACACAATATATTGCCTGGTAGCAATTCATGCACACAAATCTACACAATATATCTACTGGAACTGTATATTTATTTCAGTTTTCATCCTGATTAAAGTGAGTTTTTTATACATAATTTTAATTATTTAAATGTTTTATAGTATATGCAGATAAAAATAGATTATTCATAAGCAAAGCAGCGTAGAAATCAATTCTTGAATTTCATTTCACGATAACACCATTTGCTTTTCGCTCCACAACTCTATTATATCCCAAATTGCGTTTGGACAGCCGAGGTCGACAAACAATCGAATAGGAAACATATACCACCAATTACCCGATATTGTCTAGTTTATTTCTGGACTGGGCCTGGCTTTGACGCAATGGATGTACGTTTGCATTGTAACACGATATTTGAATCGGATAGATTGCATGAAAATTTGTGGCATGAAATCTTTTTCAATGCTAAGATTAAAAAAATTGTATGCAGAACTAACGAAGTTCTTATAATTTAAATGCTAAAAAAGTTACGATTTTATATAACTTGATATTTTGAAGAAAACTTTTTTTCTGGAAATACTTTCTTTAACTCATTTCTATGTATAGAATAAGTCTCTGATAATAAATTATGAAAACCAATAAAATATTTTTTTTTTATATATTATTCGTTGCCACAACAATCAGTTAAAGAACTATTGGTAACTAATTAAGCTGCATCTAAGATTTTCTTTACCAAACAAAATTCCAGTCAATACGCGACCAAAGTATATTAATATTATTATAAGAAAATTTGGATAAACAAATCTTTTTTAATAAATTAAGTTAAATATTTTGTTGCTTTCATGAGTTGCACATAAATAATTGAGACTGGTATTGATTGAAAAAATATGTTTCTTCACTAATGTTATGTTTGTTCACATTGTTAAGTGACCGTACGGTTTATAAGAATATATACGATACGATTAATATGATAATGGAAATAGATTTTATGGCTCGGCATCTTTACAAGGGCTGTAAGTGCCCTCATAACCTTGATTGTTTGTCCATCGCAATATTAATGTTATGTCTCAACGTTATCTAAAATAATTACTACTTTTTTTCATTGATATTCCAACACTTATTACTGTTGTCAGTAATACCTTTATTATTTTATTTAAGTTAGTACATTTATATTATTATTATATGTAAACCTATTAAAGTTGGAAGCCATTAAAATTGGAAATTATGGCAAATTTTTGTTTTTTTTTTTTTTTTATATTATAAGCTTCCTATGTTGCGAATTGAAAATCTTTAAATGAGTTAATAACCGTATATAAATTAAATTTTATTAAACATTAATAAATTACTAATTAAAACGTTCTTTACATTGAAAAGGCTTTCGAAAAGCGGAAAATTCTTGAATTAATTCGTTCGTTTTTTGTACTGTACCCGCCTAATGACTATAAATCTTCTCTTTGTTTATAAATCTCCTACATACACGCTACTATATAAAAATATTATAATAAATTAACATTAAGCCTTTTGTTACATTGTTCGCTTTCACTGTCATAGTGGATTGTTTAATGTTCATTGTTTTCCTTTTGACGATGAGGAATTTGAATACGTCGACCGAGCGGTAGATTGTTCTATTAAAACATGGCAAAAAAGCCAAAACTTCCTGCAAATTTTAGAATTTTTGTATCAAATCATCAGCTATAGATCCATATAATTAAAAGCAGCTGAATACGAAGAATCAGAAAAAAGTATATTATAATAAAAAAAATTGTAGATTATCTATTTTTTGGTTCAAGAAGCTTTGAAACTAAACTTTCCCTAAACATAGTACTTTTTAAATCATTTTCCAACAATCATAATGAAAAATACACACTAATATTTATTTTTCTATAATATATTAAAAATCTTACTTGCCCTTGTGATTTTTTTTAAATTTTAAGTCTTTTTTTATCTTGTCATATATTTTAAATATATTTTATTTTAAATAATATAATTTAATGCACAAAAGCTTTCACCTCCACCCCTTATTTGTGCTATCAGTAAAGTATTTCACTTGCATGAATGATTAAAATGATGCTGAGAGTATTGTCATTTGAATTGGAGACTTAACCAAAATGATCTTCATCAATAAGGTTCCGTACATTATCATTACAGAAAATAATTAAAACACAAAGAAACATCAGTATATTATTTGTAAAACAAAATTACTGTCATTAGTGAGCTACTCGCAAATCGTCTCAAATGGTCCACCATTTACTTCTAACAGCCGTTTGAATCTGCGTCCATTTTATATTCATTATCAAGAAAACACTTTTTTATTTACGTCATTAGGAAACTTCCGGGAGGTTTTTATTTATAGCTTGATTATTTGACGCCAGCAAGACGATATAACTTATATTATGTTTCTCATTCTGATACATTTTAATGAAAATCACTCATCGATTAGAAGGAGATTACGTATAAACACAAAATCCTAACTTTACAATTCCATAATTATCTTTTTTTTCTAGCTATCACTTTTTCTTCGTTTCATTATTATTTCAAAAGGTTTCTTTATTTAGGACGAAAACGTTCAGACTGTCGATCTTAATTGTCCAATAATAAAAAATAAATGACGAAAATACTTGTAATTTTTTTATAAAAAATGCTATTTAATATGTTCATTACTATATTATTTATAAAATGTTTGAGTATACTTTTCTAAATACAAAATAAAACTTACAATATTCGGTATTTTAACGTCAACACATACTCACTCAACTAGAATAGTGTGATATAGTGTAAATCCTTGACTACCGCGAAGATTTAAATTCTTTACCTTCATATAAGTTGTTCGTATGTAAACCTTGATTTGTCTTTAAATTAAAATATATACAATACTAATAACATAAATTATCTAGTAGTGTATGTTAAACGTTACATTACGTTTCACCAACATATACATCTTAAAAACCGTAATGGTAATCCACTTGAAGAAAATTCCAATAAAAAGGCTCTATTTAAATAACAAACTCACATTATAACATTTTATTCAAATAACAAAGTCCATTTTGAAATGAAACAAAATGGAAAATTTTGTACGTCATTAATTCTAAAGACATGATTAAAGTTATTCAAAACGCATTAAATATTTCTTCCAAAAATACATTAGAAAAATGTTTCAGTACTAGCAAAGAAATTTAGGAGAAAATTCTATGAATTATTATAAATTAAGGTGCTTTCTGATTATGTGTATATAATCTACCTCTTGTTTGAACTAGTTACATTTTATTAGGAAATTATGATAAACATCCAAAGAGAAATATTTTTAAGGATTCTATTTATTTACGTAAAAGTTTTTTCTCATATGAGGTTGTTTTATGTCATACACAAAATAATAACTCGAACAGTTGAAACGAAGTGAAATGAAAAAATCAAATTCTTCCATCGTAAGAACTATGTAGTGATCTATAGAAAGATAATTTTTCTGTTAAATAAAGTTTTGAAAGAAATACTAAACCGATTTAAATATATAAAATATTACTTGCACATACATATATGCCAGATACATAACCTCTCGTTAAGCTAGATCGCGAAAAGTAAATTTTGAGAGATACATAGATGAAAGGAAATACAGAATGCTAGTTAAAATCCTAAGACTTATCCGCCAATTGGTTGGTCGGATAGTCGTTCAATTTGTTAACTCCCCTAATAGAAACAAGAAGTGTATCTATACCGCTTATTGATCAATATCTTATTTTGTTTTGTTAGCGAGAACACTTGCAACACTTGTAGCAAATTACTCGGATTATTTTATACAGAGATATATATGTAGTATTGTACATAATCTTTTGTGCCACTTAGAATTATGGTTATAAGACGATTGGAAATATTAAATGTATGGTATTTGTTATCTATAATAAAAATACATATGTATAGCAAATAAATATATTTTTTTTATCTCGTTAATAATCGTTTGATAAATAAGTTTTTTTCAACTTCATGCATCTTCTTAAAATTAAAGAAAAACATTAAAACCATAAAAATTTAAAAACCTCTCTAGCGGCCTTTGAAAGATTTCTGTGAATTCGAATGATAAAGTTCTCTATGGAAATAACATATATTTTTTTTATGTTAATATTAATATTAAAAATATATCTTTATAGTAAAGATAAACAATTAATATGAATTTTTTTTTTACAGGTACAATTATTATCATTTTACTGATAATATTGTAATGATGTCCCAAGACCTGAGAATGTTTTATTTCACTGGATCAGAAAACTAAACATAACAATGACATCCGAAGAACCCATCGATGTAGTTGCAAAAAAGGCAGACGCTAATAAAACAAACCCAAATTTTCCTGACGACAATCCTGAAAGCAGCAAAGGGGAGAAACAACAACAGCAACTAAAACGATCTCATGAGTTAATGCAACTAGTTTATGAGCTGCCAACAGAAGTAGAGAGCCCTATACACAACAATAATATGCTTAAAGAAAACCCACCGATAACAATTGTTGAGATTACGGAACAGAATGGTTGTGAAACTGAATTATGTAGTGGGACATGTGATAGTGATTATTACCAAGAGTCAAATCCCAATGATTTAGGTAATAGCGTTGTTTATGATGTATTAGCAACTAATGAGCTGATAATGCAATGTGCTGATGAGTACAAAGAAGTTATTGATAGGACATCACCAGATGTTACGACTGAAGAGGATTTATTAGAATTGAAAGCAATATTGGATAATAAGCCGAAACTTTTGGAGAGGTATATAAGAGAATGCGCATCTGTGGATCAAGTGAACAGGCTTCATAACCTAACATCTTGTGGTCCGCTGTCACCAAGACCACACCATGAGGCTCGGAGTACTTCAGTTACTTCAGATCTATTCCAGCTATGGTTGTCATCGTCTCCGGTTAAGGTATGTAATATTACACTATTTTATATAATGGCATGAAGTTAAATTACGTTCAAGAGTTATATACTAAATGATTTTTAATAAACCAAATTTGAATTTTATTAGATTCTAGACTGAAAGTCATAAATACATAAAAGTTTATTTCACAATAAAATAATGATTGCTATGATCAAATATAAAGTATTATTGATTAATTCAATAAATTCAGCTTGCAATTTTAAGTCATAACTTTTTGAACAGCATTAAGATATTTTTAAACAAATTATTATGCTAGACGAAAATATTATAATTTTCAAATGTCATTCCGAGCATGTCTTTATAATATTAATGTCCAAAAAACTTTTTCGAATACTAATGACGTAGAACAATATTGCCCAGAATTTTTGGTTAACGCCCACTGAAGTTGCTTTCAGTGAAGCAAACAATGGTTAATCCTATTATAGTTTGATACTGTTTACGAAAAATCTCGTATCAGGTTTCTTTGATTCTTTTAAGGCGACTAGAAAGCCTATTCAGAAACCCTCTCAATATTTAATTCAATGCTAAGCCCTTTTATTTTTACACTTAAAAATAATTGTATATTTTTTTTATATCATACTTTGACGTAACTATTGCTTTGTAAAGTCACATAAAGTGATATAAATGTGTTATCATACCATTTTTCACTTCAACGGATCTATATTATTTTAAAAGCCTTCCGAATACTTCATAAATGTATCTGCGTCACTTAAACAAGGAGCAGTGAATAAAATTTGATATTCCTTTAATCGTTCCAATAAAAATCATTTCATATATGACGAAAGTATTTCATTCTATCTATTAAAAGCATTTTTAATGACCAAATAAATGGTAGAACACTGATTATATTATAAGATTTAGTAATCTAAACTTGAAATCTGCAGCGAAAGGTGTATCTTCAATAAATAATTTATTTCCTCTAAAAATATTACAGTAAAACATGATGCGTAATTAATTTTGCCTCTTTAAATTATACAATAACATTTTTTTTAACTTAACGCGATATAACCTTTAACGAGGAACATCGCAATACATATAAGACAAAAACCTACGTAGGATTATATATTTACTCCGAAAACCAAATATATAAATACAAACCGATATGCCTCGTCCTAAATTTAATACTTCCACGTATCAACACTTTACTCACTTAACAATATCAGTAAAGTGTACCATTAACAAGCTATCGCTAGATAAGATAGTTCTGCCAAATAAAAAACTCAATATACTTTATTGAATGACCACGTAAAATTGTTTTAATAAATTTTATTGGTTTGAGACTTACTTTTTATAATTGTAATAAAAATATTCTTTTACCATCCTAACCTAGTATTCTGTTGCTAAAAAATATATTTATTTAAAGCACCTTAAAAGCGTATATTACACAATCATTTGGTGTTAACTATTCTCCACTGGTTCTGGAGACTTGCAACATTATATTGATAATGCGTTACCATCCTTGGCTGGTATTTTTACTTAGCAATATTTGAAAACCATTATAAAGTAGTACTCCATAAAACTACTTCTCTGACTTTAGGATTTAGCTTTTCTTAATTTAGGAATATGAAAAAATAGTATACAAGCAAGCCTAGTGTCACTACTGACATTATAGGCTTGACCAAAACTATACTATTCATTACTCTTTTTTTAATGAAAATAATATGAGTCGTAAATATTGATACAAAAAAATATAAATATTCAAAGTATAATTTGCAAAAGAAGTTGCTATTAAATTGTATGTATTTTTTTACTAAACTCACCAAGGCTATAATGCTTTAAACTGAATTGATAATATTTTATATAAAACATTTTCTCTTCATTTTATACGAACATAAAAGTAATTAAGCTAAGCTCTCGTTTGGTGCATTATATGTATGTATAATATAATACATGCTCGGAAAATACACTGCTATGTTAGACTTTGAATGCAGCGAAATATCATACAAAGTTACATTTCTAAGACTCGTATTCTGAATGGAACAGGGAATAACTTTGTGACTATTTTAGAAACTGAATTATTATACGACTATTTCTTTTTATAAAGAAAAAGGTTGTTTTAAATAAAAATAATAAAACAATGATAAAAAAGTAAGAAAGGCTAATGTTTTTTCTTTAAATACAGCGTTGTTTTCATTTTATAAATAGAATATTTTTATCAAAAGTTATCTAACGCCTTGTTATCGAGGCTGTCATTGATTGGGGGCTTAATTAAGTGAATAAAATCTATTCTATAAAGGTCAAACCTTTTGTATATAAACCAGAGCCAGCGAAATGACCGTTCCGAGTCAGATAACGAGATCAGAAACTAACTTTCTCTTGCACTTCGTAATGTTATCTTTTGTCATAACAAGTATCAGATGAATTTTGAGTCCTGGATAAAAAATATCATTAGATAATTAGCAACAAAATACATTTAAATTTCTTTTAAGATCCCAAAATGGTTGTAGGTACAAATTTTGATTTCTTTTTAACTTTTATTAAAATCTATATAAATCCGTTTTCCACATTACTTAGTAATTAAACAATTAAAAAGGCTTTCATAACAAGGTAGAAATATATTATATTTCTTAGTAAAATAACCTCTAAGGTGCGTAAAATTTGTTTTCCAATAATCGGGAACAAAATACATGTAAACATTTATCATACTTTATGAGATTATAAAGACGTATGTATTTCATAATAACCTCGTTTAACCCACTTAAGGAGGGTTTAACCTTTAACAGGTTAAATAATAACAAATGACTACATATGTTCTTTGTAGATTAATACCACAGGTTGGAGGCCTTTACCTACTATTATAAATATGTGTTTTCTACTATATTATTTGTAATTTTTATCTAGCACCTCGTTAGTACGAATTTTAGTACCACAATTACAATCAAACAAATTCTCATTATGTTAATATAACTATTCGTATCTTTCCACTATTATTGATACTAAAGTCCAATAAAAACATAATAGAAAAAAAAGCTTTTCATGAGGACATCCGGTTTTCATCACGACGAAATAACAGGAAATGAATTCAGACTGCGAAATCGTATTTTCTTTGCCTACGCTATAAAGACTTAAATTAGCTCTCTTGGAATCGTGAAAGACGTCATAGCCTACATTTATTATAATTTTAATAAATTTTGATTTATCGAATAATATTGTTAAATGCGTACCATTGAAAATTTATTTTTTATAAACACATTATTAAAATAGCAATAGAATAATGTCCAGGATAACTTTTTTTCATATTATGTTGTACTCTTGGACTTTGTATTTTAAATTTACTTTACAGCAAACGAAATTTCGGGAGTATGTAGTTTTTGATAAAAATAAAAATTCGTTTAAATGAATACTCGCGAAAATCTTCGATCTCATAACTTCGCATTTTATATTCTCTCGTAATGTACTTGGTTTAATTCTATCACTCAAGTAGGTTTATGTAAGTAAACTTGCTTTAGAGCTTTTAGGGAGTAATTGCTTTGGACGACAGCACTAACATAGTCTTTGTCCGTCACTGCTTGTTAAGCTTTGGTAAGCAAACGCCGCAAACAGTACTCGAAAGCCTTTGAACGTCCAAGTTTATTAAAGCCTTGATGCACTACACATATAATGTTTATTTATTTCAGGGTAGTCTAAATATAAAGGTAAGATGATTCTCTACAGTCTATAGGGCTACAAGTTCAAATTTGAATCTTCCGATATTGCTTCTACGCTATGTTTGCCAATGATATTGAATTTTTATTTAAATTTCCACCCGACTCTAAAAACAAGAACATTCTGACCCTTTTGTATTCAAGAGGTATAAACCCGATTGTATGAAGGAACTACTAATATTATGATTATAAAATCTCATAACTTATAGTGATTTGAAATTTTTCTCTTGCACAATGTTATTAGACTTCCTATACAAAAGACCATAATTTCACTGTAAAGTTGTTTTAAAATTTGTGTTTCGTAATAGGATTTGGTGGGATTTAACTTATTATTTTAAAAGCACGTACGGAATCGAAAAATGTATGCAAATGAATTAATTACCAATGTAAATCCGATTTTTTACAAATTCATTTCAACAAAAATTCGATTATATGTTTTACCAAAGAATTTAAAAATTATAAATCTATAAGATTTATAATATCCATTCAGTTATAATTTAAAAACACATTATGAATGACAGACATAAATATATGTTTACTTTCCCAGGTAAATGTATTGTCAAATAGAAATATTCTTGTTTGTTTGGCAAACGTTCTCCGAAATAAGAAAATTTATTCAACGGATATTCGTATTCCTATATGCTTAGATAAGCATTTTAAATGTTTTCATTGTGGTAGAGAGTTTAGATATCAATTTCGTACGCCTCAGTGAAAGAGATTTTCAAGTGAAATATACCTTTGTACTTAGTTTTATTTGTTTTTATTTTGTTTATTTATTCCAATAATAAACGAATAGACGTTTAATTTTTACCACCCTTCTATTGATATAAACAAAAGAAAACATTTTAATATGTTTAATGTTGTGAGAAAAAATCCTGAAATTTGTTTTTTGTAAAAGAGTTTGAAATGGTTTCTATTTATACATGTATAATGTTACTATATATCTATTTTAAACAAAATGAAACAATACAAACAATAAACTGACAGTGATTAATTTATTATCCAGGCTTCAAATTCATAATATTCTTATATTAGCTTTATACTCTTTAACGTTATCATGATATCATTTATTGGTAAAAATAAGTAAAAAAAGTTAAAAGTAATCTTTATTTTCGCCGTTTAACAAAAAAGAAGCAAAGTATTATGGAATCTGAGTAAGGATCTTAATGATAATTCTTGGAGTTGGTGCTTGCAATATAACTTTGACATTGTTTTTGTATAACAGCATTTATAAAGTTGTTTTTTGTAGTAGGTACTCTTATTATGTTTCAGAGTAAATACGTACTTCATAGTTTAAAAAAGTTTCTTTGGAGAATAAATAACAATGATGGAATTACCTTT